TGTAAATGTGTAATTAATGTTTCAAGCCTTTTAAATAAAGCCCATAATATGTCAAAAAAGGAATCATTACTAAAGAAGCACACATCATGATTGAAAGGATCAAGACTTTGAAACAAATCTGGTATTTTGGTACACCATCTGTTGCTGACAAGTTTTTCGGCGACCGCGTCATTTTTCTGCTAACAAGTGTTTCCTCAATAATAAATAAAGAGCGTTAAAAGTGGAAGCAATTTGGATTTGATCTATTGTTGTTTGTGTTAAAGCATATTGGGTGTTAAAATGATTGATTTGAGCAGCAAAAAATCATTTGAGCGGACGGATTAGCGTTCATTAATTTTACTAATTGCGTAGCAAGAAAAACAGATGTTTTGTTAGGTGAAGATCAGACATTAATTGCAGGTCCTACCTTTCAAACTAAAAATAGTGCTGTTAGTTTGGGCATTTGTTTTTTTTTTACAAAGGAAAAGAGAAAGAAAAATGTTTCATGGGTGTCAAGAGTGGGTGGGCATCACTTAAAACGTGTAGGTTTATGTATGCGATTTGAGAAATACAAAAACGGCAAAATACGTTTACTGTTGTTCTTGTCCAGGTGTTACTATTATTATTATTATTATTACTACTACTATAATCTATCAAAGCTTTTTTTTCTCCTCTCTTCGTGGGGTCAAAGCTTTAACTTGAAGAAGCTAGAGGATCTTTCAAATGCTTGTCCGATTATACATGGCCCGGCCAGCTAAATGTCAACACCTGGATTTCGGGCAGTGTTATGATCTGGGGTTGCTTCAGTTGGTCAGGTTCATTTACGTTATGTGCCCAAATGAGGTCAGCTGCCGACCTGAATATACTGAATGACCAGATTTTTCCATCAATGGATTTTTCCCTCCCTGTTGGCACGGGAATATTCCAAGATGACAATGCCAGGATTCACTGGGCTCAAATTGTGAAAGAGAAGTCATTTTCACACATGGATTGGCCACCACAGAGTCCAAACTGTGCTGGAGAAGACTCCGCATACGACATTGCATAAGCTTATCGAAACGATGCCACAGCAAATGCGTGCTGTAATCAAAGCTAAAGGCAGTCCAACGAAATCTTACATTGTGTGACATTTTTTTGGCCAGACAGCGTATGAACTGCAAGTTAACAAAAGTATTGCTTATAGTTCTACTGGCAGCTGTCATTCCCTGGCTGAAGCTATTCAAGCGCCATATGATTACATTACAATTATTCAAAGAAAACTATAATAGGTGGGAAAAAGGTTATTTTTTTGGTTTCGGGCTGACTAATTCTGCTGCGGGAGGTGTGTTGGAGTGCCATTCATTTTAGTGGCACTTCAAACGTGCCTCCCAACCACAGTGTTCAGCCCTAGTAATTTTAGAAAGTCATCACGTCCAATACAGTGTATTGGACATGAAGATGCCGAGGGAAATGCAATCTCTGAATTGGAGGAGGTGACAGGCTGGAGGAAGTACTGCCGGCTCCGAGGTTCAGGTGAATATAACTTTTTTTTTTTTGGACCCTAGGCAAAAACGAGCAGCTGCCACTTCTTTAACCCCTTCATGACTGACCTTTTTTTTAAATTTTTTTGCACCCATGCTATATTCCACATTTTAGGCCTGCAAATTATTTAAAACCCCCAAAAATTATATATTTTCTGAAAGCCAAGGCCCTGTAGAACAAAATGGTGGCAGTTACAAATTATTATGTTGCACAATATTAGCGCAACTCCTTATCAAACCCCAACATTTAGTTAAAAATGTATTTAAATGCCCTAAAACACAATAAAATACCCATTTTTTTATGAAATATAAAAGATGAGGTTACAACGAGTAAATAGATGCCCAACATGCCTAGGTTAAAAATTGTGTGCGTTCGTGAAACGGCGACAAAATTCAGTACCCCAAAAAGTCCATAGACAACGCTTTAAAAGCCCCTACAGGTCATCAGTTTAGAGATGCCCTAGAGTTATTGCTTTCACTCCGGCGTGCGAGCCGATACCCAACATGTGTAGCGCGTTCGTCATTTTCATACGTAGGCGCACCCGCGCGTGTTTAAGTGAGGGCGTACGTGCTCGCGGAGGACTTTTAAAAATGTTTACAATTATTTTTAGATGTATTTTATTTAATGTTAATTATATAAACTTATTTTTTTTAATGTTTTTACTTTACTTTAAACTGACAGCTATGGGACCGGAAGTGATGCAATCTGCATCGCTCCCGGTCCCATATAACGGGGAGGGCATCGACGAATGGAGGTTCGTCCATCCACTCCCCAGCTTCCTTCCCAACACCAGAGAAGCCGGTCCTGGGCCCATAGGAGGGGCAACGAAGCCCAGGAAACACGGCGGGGGACCCCTTCATCGGGCCGTAGAAACAATCTGGCGACAGCTGAGTCGCCAGAATCGCTTCTACTGTAAAGCCGACAGTCGGCTTTACAAGTTTAAACAGAGTCAACCGCCCGATGCCAGCGACGTACACTGTACGCTGTTGGTCGTGAAGGGGCTAAACAAACATATTTTGCTTTTACTTACAATTACTGTTTTCCCATTTGCTGGTCATCTTAGGCATTAGTGATGTAGCCCATGCCTGAGTGATGCATCCTGGCAAGGTTACATCAGCAGCTGGGAAATCTCATCTGTAATCTCAGGAGATCTCGTGGAAAGGCATTTTCCTCCCCTGAGATGTGCATGCTCACATGTGCCAGAGTTCCAGGAAGTGAAGTGAGATGGATTAATCTGCCCTTCATAAAAATGGTTCCTGTGAGAAGCATGGGGAGAAAAATAAAAATAAGGTATTCAAGGAATAAAAAGCTGGCAATTATCTATAAGTATCTGTTTGTAGAATGTCAATACAGGTATTCCTCACTTAACGACCGAGTTCCGTTCCTACGACCAGGTCGTTAAACGGATTGGTCGTTAAGTGAGGAACTCTATACAGTACTGTACTGCATTAGTACAGTACTGTATAGCGTTGCTGATGTACAGTACCGAACAGTGTACTGTACATCGGGCAATGAAAATACTTACCGGGACCCGCAGTGAAGATCGGAGGACGCCACTTCCGCCGGCGACATGGCGCATTAACGCTGACGCGCAAGGTCGGAGGTCGATCGGCGCTCCGTCGTGGGTGCGAGTGGTCGCAAAACAGGTAAGTCGGTAAGCGAGGAACATCTGTACTAAACATTTCTGAAGGTGTCTTTGTTGTCATTTTAAAGATCTGAGTAAAGTTGCTCTTTAAGAAACCTTAACCCAAGTAATAGCAAAATAAACTGCAAAAATAATTTGTTACATTTCTTTTTAGCTTATTCTCTGCGATTGGGAACATGTACCAAATATAAAATAGGTGTTATCCCAATCTGGCTGCGAAAGTGGAAATTCACTTTCAAGCGGCTCTTCGTGTAACCGCAAGCAGCATAAAAACTCTCCAGAGGAGGTAAATAAAACACTCTGTCCCTTTCCCTGTTGCGATTTCCGAGAGAGTTGGGTTTTTTTTTTCTGCTTCTTAAAAAGTGGAAATCTACTTTCCCGCTAGCCGAGCGAGGCTTTGATTTTAGAAAGGGGGATAATACAGCAACATGGTAAATCTGCTCAATGTCTTTTATTTCACTCCCGCCAAAGCTTCTGATGATGTGCATGTACTAAGTGCATAGATTTACTGCTGCTGTTTGAACATTTTTAAATTAAAATATATTGCTCGTTCTGAAAATATTGATTTACACATCGCTGTGTCAATATTAAATCTAGCAAATTTTCCAATAAGTTAAAAAGATCTGGCAGGTCAGGTGAAATGTACTGAGTTGATTTGATTTTATTTACGTGGCCATTCATCCATCTCGCGAGCCATTTTTATGGATTTTAACAAAACATGGTATTTTCAACAAGCGGCACAGTAAACACTGTATCAAAGCAGCAAAATAACTCCATGTAGATTTCACAGTTTATTGGTCATAGGTGTTCACCGTCTTCAGGATGTTAAGGTTGAATATATTTTCTTGCTTTTTTGTTTTCATTAGGTATGTAGTTACATAGTATTTGAGGTTGAATAAAGACACAGGTCCATCAAGTTCAGCCGTGTGTGTCTGTTGTGTGTTGTGTGTGCGTGCGTGTGTGTATACGAGTCCCTGTGTGGTCTTCATTTTTAAGAGTACCTGTACACTGCAATTGCCAGTTTGGCAGTATGCTTTAAGGTGCAAATTGAAACCAAAAACGTGAAATGGCTCAACAATAAACAAAAATTAAGTGTATCTAAAGCAAAAACCTTTTTTTGTGTGTTTTAGATGGAGAAGAGAAGGGTTAGCACACTGGAGGCAACGGGTTCTTTTTAAGTAAAAGATATTGAGGGTCTGTTAGACCCTTTAATGTCACTTTTGTACTCCAATGAAGCTAATCAAGCACAGATCATGCTTAATCAGTTTCATCTCCAGCCACATGAATGACGGCTCACAAACTGGAAGTGACAAAATTCTCATTGCTTCCAGCTTCGTTCCATGGGGGGAAGATCAGTGTTAGGACATTCTCTGGTTTCCCCTCCCCTCTAGCAGCCTACACCTGCCAAGCTAGTCCCGGGCCCGCAGGAGGGGTAGCAAATTCCTAGATACATGGCAAGGTGGTTGAGTGGGGTGGTGACAGCTTTGATGGCCTGAATGTCTGCTTATAGGGCCCTGCTTTGGCCACCATATAAAATTGGTTTGTGCATACTTTCAAAATGCTTTGCCTGTTGCCTACTCAATAGGTTTCACATCTTCTGTGCTGGGTCAGGAGCAGGAATTTAAGATTATTTAAAGGAAAACTCTGGGCAAACGTTTTCAACCTTTGCAGTGGGGCTAGCCCCGCACTGCAAGGGATTAAGTGCTCGTTTTTGTCTAAGTGCAAAAAAAACCAGTTATACTCGCCTGGTCCTAGGAGCCGGCTTGCTCTTAGACCGGTCCCTGGAGCCTCTCGTTAGTCATCACTTTCTGAACACTGTATAGGACATGAGGACATACCATCATTGTAGCGGTGGATGAGACAAACTGGAGTGCTTTCATCGCCAGCCGCTTTAGAGGATCAGGTGAGTAGTTATTTGTTAACTTTTCCACCTAGACCAAAACGAGCACTTAACCCTTGCAGTGCGGGGGAGCCCCACTGCAAGGGTTAAGAAAAAGTTTGTCCGGAGTTCTTCTTGAAGACTTCCTGGCTTGATAACTGTAAGCTGCAAAGCTCAAAGATCACAGGCTTTCCACACATCCCTCCATAGTATGTCACTGTGCATCTACATTTGCATAAGGGACGGAGACCATCACTGCACAGATCAATGTGGTTCCCCTAGTCCCAACCTTCTCATTTGAGAGACAGCTGCATTTAGTAAAACAAGTGGCTGATAAGAGAGTAGGAAAGAGGGAAGACTGGGGATAGAACTACCCTGTTACACGCTCAGTTCCTGGCAAAGAAACAATGTTATTCTTACAGAGAACTTCCTGTGATGGAATGATGACATCATTTCCTTCAGATAGTAGCACTGCATCACCTCCCACTATATCTGAGATACAAGACCAGTTACCTTGCACTAGGAGAGAGCAGCAATGACCGGACTTATTACAAGAAGCTGCTGCACAGAGGCAAAGTTTTGTTGTAAAGCAGAACTCCAGGCACAATTTTTCTTAACCCTTGCAGTGGGGCTACCCAAAACAAAGTAGTATACGAACAAACCGCGCTATCCAGGGAATGCGAATACTTCAGACTTTATTGACATTCACAGCAAATTCAGTATAACAGTGAATAAAAGTGTATAAAGCAGCAAATACCAGCACTGCACACCCCAACCAGCTACAACCTCTCACATGTTTCACCCATAGGCTTATTCATAGAGGTACCTCTGTGAACAAGCCTACGGGTGAAACGTGAGAAGTTGGGGGTTTGGCTCTCTGGATAGTGCGATCTGTTCGTATACTACTACATTCCAAGGGGAAGACGCACCTATTAGACCAGCACCTGGGGAGTCCTGATAGCGGCTAAGGAATTGGAGCCGTGAGATTTCCTTTGGTGCTAAAAAAAAAAAGGTTATACTTACCTGAACCACGGACCCGGCTTGCTCTTAGACCAGTCTCTGGAGCCTCTCTTCCACTTCGCTGCGGCGATTAAGGCTGGGTTCACACCTGTGCGTACGGAATATGCGCGTTTGCCGCACGTTTTTTACCGCGATTTGCGGTAAAAGAAACGCGCGTTTCCGAGTGCTATCCGGCTGTATCCTAATGGATACGTGTGGCAAATACGCCTCGAAGAAGCTCCTGTACTTCTTTGGGCATAGGGCGTTTTTCGGCGCGTTCCTACACGCTGTAAAACGCCCAGGTGGGAACCATGCCCATAGGCAATTATTGGTTTTCACATGTTGTAAAACACCCAGGTGTGAACCAGGCCTTAAGGTCCCGTAAATCATTATGTTCTATATACAGTGTGTAGACGTGAGGAATATTCCAATGCTGCAGCGAAGAGAGAGGCATCAGAGACCGGAGAAGCAGGCAGGCAGCCGGCTCGGCGGTTCAGGTCAGTATAACTTTTTAATTGTTTTTAGCACCTGAACAAAAATGACCACCTAAACCTTGCAGTGCGGAAGTAACCCCGTTGCCAAAGTTAACACTTTTGCCTGGAGTTCTTCTTTAATTTGCCCTACTTGTTTTGTATGAGTTCTGGCTTTACAAATATGGAGGTGTATCAAAGAAGATAATTACGTATTCTGCAAAGAAAACTTTAATTGCGTTCACCATCACAAGGCCTTTAGCGGAGAAGTTGGGAATTTGACAACCACTTGCATGTAGCTGCAGCAAAGTGACGCCGGAGGGATGTCTAATCCCGGTAGTCCTCCTTCTGAATTGTTATTAATGCATGGTATTTTCCTTCAAAGCATGCCAATACGACTGCTAGCCGAGCCATGAGAGCGCTGTAAGCTTCTGATTAGAATGCCGCTAATACATAACGCACGGCGGCCTCCCTGCTCACATTTGTTTAAGTTTCCAAACAGGAGAGAAAGAAAAAAAAAACAGTGCAATCAGCAGTGCTGCTTGTATGTTCAGTCCCCAGCTTAATCCTTATCCCACAGCATTGTCAATACCCATCTAATTCCATTTTAACAACAGTAATTGGCTGATGGAGTAGAAGATATAGATTTGTTTTCCTGATGACTCCTTGACTTTTTTTTTTTTTTCTCTGGCAATACTAATAGAATTCAAAATCCTTACTGGTGTGATCGTGTCATGAGTAGGTCAACAGTCATGTCAAGGTCCTATTGGAAGCTCCGGAGCGAACATCTTAATTTAGACTTAGCTCTCTCTCCGTGTTGTATGTGCATTTGCCTGTAATTCTTTCACGTCTCACTCATTCCATTATGCCAGAATTCATTTACTTTACTAGACAATGGCTGTGCATGGCAATCGCTTTCCTCGTTTTGCTTTTGAGCCAGCACAATGCGGGTTGGGTTTAATCGTCTTCGCGCAATGTTGGAAATCTGTGTTGCATAAAGCGGTTGTATTCAAATAGCACTCACTGACTTAAAGTGTACCTGTTCCCAGGCGATGGATAAAAGTGTTTACACATTAATAGACTTAACAAGCAGTAAAACATACTTTAAATCAATCTCTCACTGACCTCTGTATCTGCAGGTGCTGTGGAGCAATTCATCCCCATCCTCACAGCAAAAGCACTCCAGTCCTGTTTTAATTAGTTTCTAGCAGCTCACAGCATACCTGCTTTTTGTTGGCAGGCTGCCAAGTTTCTGCTGTTAGAGAAAATAAGGAGGAGGGGAGCTGTTTTATTTCTGCTGCTGTGAACTTTGAGAATTAATTTTCCAGAGTGTCTGCAGCTACCAACATCAGTGAGGACCTCGGAATACCTAGTTTTTCACTCACTCTCCTCCCTCTGATGTGATGGTTCTGGTGTTTGTCCCAACACTGTCACAAAAGAGTTGTGAGGTGGTCCTCAATAGGGCTGCAGCTAACGATTATTTTCATAATCACTTAGTTACCCGATGTATTTTTTCAACTAATCGATTGGTTGCATTAAAAAAATATCTTTCTCTCTCTTCCCCCCCCCCCCCACCTCAATCCTATGTGAGCTGAAAATGGTCTCATTGGACAGCGGGTTGCTGATTGGCAGGGCTTAGTCATGAAGTCTAATAATATTGTAAGTAATCTTGGCCCCACCCCCTACAGCACATCATTAGGTCACAGGAATTCATTTCAAGTGATGGTTTCCCCTTCATCAGCCAGGAAGGGAAAAGGGAAGAAGATTTACATCCTCCGAAATGCATGCTAATAACCTGATGAAGGGGTGGAGCCTAGATCGCTATTGCAGTCTTTCTTTATTTTATTACTGCACCTTTCCCACCCTGCATGGCTTTCCTCTGCGGGTAGCAAGGGCCGGTGAGAGGACAGGGTGAGTTGGTCCTGAGTTAGCTCATACTGCCCCACTCTTCTTTCATGCTTGTGAGTGGATTATACTCCTTTTTTTTTTTTTTTGTATTAAGTTGGCAGAAAATGTCTTCCATCTATCACACAAAAGCTCAAAGCCAATGCTAAATGCACCAAACGCCTGTATTTGAGCCATTTCCTTGCTTGGAGATGTAGGCCATTCTATCCCTGCTATTCAGCCATTCTCTCATCGTTTCTGTGTTTTGGTTCCTCCTTTTTGTTCCACTTTCCTTTCTTCTAGCCTTCACCAACGTCGTCAAGAAATCCTGTGCATGCGTGGACCAAAGGTAGCTTAGCCTCTCTTCAAATTTAAGTTTGGGATTGTACTATAGATATTGAATAAGTAAAGGAGGGATGTGGCTCTTTAAGAGAACTTCCCAACTCCTGTGACGTTGCTAAGTCTATAAGACTTGCTGAGTGCCGATACATTGTACTAGACTTGCAAGAGCGAGTGTCGGTGCTTGAGATAGTTGATGACGTCATCCCAGCATAGTCAAGCTTCACACTTCGACACGCACGACACCCTGAATGTATGATGAACTGCGCATGAGCTGGTGAAAACACGGGGGTGTCATTACAGCAGTATTTTATGAATGGTAAGACTTTGGAGGATGTTCATATGAACTACAAAGAGTATGTAAAAATATTTTTAGGTAAAGACAAGTTAAAATGTTGACTTTATTTCCACTGTGATACATTTTATTGCTGCTTACTACACTGTGTAAATTAAAGAGCTAAATATTGGTGAAGTAACCCCAGCAGCCTACTACCATTCATTTTACTGAAGGTGGACCCATACAAAATGGATATTGGCTAATGTGGATTATTACATTTTACAATTTGCTTCTTTGCTCATGTACTCTCTGTGAAATGTGCAAAGGTTTTTGTTTTTTTCAGATTCACTGTAAGTTTGATGGTTTCACATATACTGTATTTGCTGGCGTATAAGACTACTTTTTATACTTAAAAACATCCCCCGAAAATCAGGAGTCCTTTTATACGCAGGGTATACAATGTATACCTTAGTTCGTTTAGGCCAAGCTGGCCCAAAACGAACGTCCCTAATCTGTCAGCCCGCTGGATGTGCGGTAATACTGTATGTACGGTAGCTTCGGCTACATACAGTAGCTGAGCCAATCACGGGGAGCGATGTACACAACCTCTGCCAATCCAAGCAAGCTTTGTATTCATTAATATAATACATTGCTCGCCATGATTGGCTCAGTGCGGTATACTGTATGTAGCTGAAGCTACCGTACATACAGTATTACCGCACATCCATCCATGATGTTTTTAAATGGTGTTGCCTCGGAAGTGGGGTAGTCTTATATGACGAGTATAACCCATAACCTATGTTTTAAGTGGAAAATTAGGGGGTCGTCTTATACACCCAGTCGCCTTATACGCCGGCAAATACGGTAGTTGATGTGACCATGACCAGATCATTTTACATTTCGTAAATGAGGAAATCTAGATCTAACATTGATACATATAGCGCCTGTGACATCATTCTGCAGCCAAAGCAGCAACTTTGCCCAGCAATAGGAAATAATGGAAATGTTCACTTGAACTAAGACAAATGGTATTAAATGAGAAAACACACCATGAATTGCAAATGAAGCCGAGTTAATTTGTTGCTACAGTAGTGTTGCCCTACTGTTAAATGAAGGCAGTGTAATTATCTTGTTGGCAGAGATAATGTCAGAACCTTATTTCTTCCTACATGTCTCATTTTTACACCGAGGCTAATTGAGCTGCAAGGTGACAAGTGACTGTATGCGCCTATCATTAGCTCAGTCTGCTGTGTTTACAGCCATCTCTTCATTATGTAGTTGTCTGTCCTTTCAACTGAAGAAAGCTTCGCTAATAACGATTTTTCACTTTTTAAGCTTGTATGACTTAAAGTAGAACTGTGACCAGGCTATGGAGATTCAGATTTTTATGTATCCTTAACAAGCAGGAGTTCTAAAACAAGCCCTCAGTGACCACCGTAGCTGCAGGCACCGTGGAGGAATTCATCCTTAAAGTTCACAACGGAAGAACTGATGTCATTAAAGTCAGGTCTTGGCACTTTGATCTGCCTCTTCCCAGTGTTCTGGGGTTAAATTAAGGATTAGAAGGCTGGCAGGCAGGCAGTCAAGTTCCTGCTGGAAGGTGGCAACAAAATGAGTTGAGCTTCTGAGATAAAAGTGAAAGTGCTTTTTGTTTTTTTGGGGGTTTTTTTTCTGGCTGATTAGAGGCATCCCCTATAATAGGAATCTTAAGTTGGCCATACACTGGCAGATTTGTTTTAACGAACATATGAAACCCTTTGTCAGAACATTCGATAATTTCATCAAAGACTTGACAGATGCTGTTTTAAATGTTGTTTGGTTTTTACATTTGATCTCGGAATTAATGGAGTTTATTGTACAAAAACCACAATCCCTGTTAGAATTTTGTTTGGAGAAAAAGCTTCCGTTCTGCCCCTTCTTTTCTTTTTCGTAGTTACGGTTGAAAACAATCACTGCTTTCACCTAGGGATGTTCAGATACCAGTGCCGATACTTGGTAATTACACGAGAACAACCAGTGTTGCAGCTGTGACCTGGCTCTGGCACCCCACCGCTGTCCTGAAATCATTAGCCTGCATTGTTTTAGTGCTGATACATTTTTGTTTTTGACAATAAACAAAAATGTATCAGTACTTGTATCTGTGATTACTTGGACAAGTATCAGTACTTGTACTTGAGAAAATGGTATCGGTGCATCCCTTTATATATTTATAAAAAAAATAACCATACTTTAAAATAGGGATGCACAAATCCCAGAAGCTCTGTATGCTCCGTAAAAATGACAGCTGCCTTCTAACTTTTTAGTTTTTCTCTAGTCTAGTCTTGGAGCTGGAAAAGTATCGGTTCTTGTAGGGAGTACAGTACTTGGTATCTGAACATCCCTACTTTCACCCCCATTAACTATATGAAAATCAAACTACCAGGACAGGGAGTAAGGTAAACCTCTCTAACAGAGCCGCGGATAGCAGTAAAAGTTTTTATTCTTCTCCACTTTTTCCAAAGGAAAGCAAGTTTTTGGCTTGATATAGACTTATTGAATTTTGGAATTTAACCCTACACCGCAGCTGTAACTTCACTGTTCTTGGAAGGCTACTAGTGTTGGATGAGAAGGTCTGGTTCACAATCAGTGTTCCAGTTCATCCCGAAGGTGTTGTGGCCAGGGCTCTGTGTAGACCACTTGAGTTCCTCCACTTTGGCCACTTTTGGCTTTAGCCATAGGGGCAGAGTCATACTGGAGCAGAAAAGAGTCTTCACCAAATGGCTACCACAAGATTAGAAGCACATAATTGTCTGAAATGCCTTTGTATGCTATAGCATTCACTGTACCCTTTAGGCTAGGTTCACACCGCAGCAACACCTGGGGCACGTGATCGTGTGCTTGTGCACATAGCGGTTGCCACACGGCTCCATTGATTTCAATAAGGTGACATCCGTGCAGGAATCGCTTAACTGCCTCAGGGCCGGCCGTAGTAAAAAAACGGCCGACCAGGAGCTCTCTAGATCTGAGCGGGCGTCTCTAGACGTCCGCTCAGACATGCCCCCTTGCGCGCGCGAGCGAGAAATGGCCGCAATTTAAAAACGGGCAGCGATGCCTGTTAATATACATGCGATCCGCCGGCTGTAAAGCCCGCGGATCGCTTGTATTTAGCGACGATCGGATGGTTAAAAAAAGTACAAGTACCTTTTTTTAGCTGTGATTGTGTTCAATTGCACGGGCGGAATTGCGGCGGGAAACTGCACAATACGCCCAACGCGACTGGGGTGCCATTAGAAAATAATGGCACCCACAGCCCGATCAGCTGCAGTGCGTGACTCCGTGACCGTGCGGTTTTGTGTACAATTGCCGTGCGTTCAGGAGTCATCCAGGTGTGAGCCTAGCCTTAAACATGTTAGGACCCCATTTACACTAAGAGTTTTGTAGCAAGATTTCCGCTCACAAATCGCTCAAATATGAAGCTCAATGTAGCTCTTGCAATGTATTTCAATGGAGATGTTCACATCTTGCAGCTCAATGTCGCCTGTAGCTTGTAGCTGAGGCTTGTCGCTTGAACATGAGCTATTTTTTGGCAGATTTCAAGCGATTTGTCCCCAATAGACTTTGATAGACTGGCAAAAGAAGCGCTAAGTAGCGCAACAAAATGTGCACTGTAGCTCAATATAGCTCAAAGTCGGTCAGCTCAGATTAGCGCTTATTTTGTTGTAGCTCAGTGTGAATGGGGTCTAAACATGTTATGTTAAAGCTGTAGACCAAGCAGAAAGAGAATCAATTCAAAAGTTAAATAAAAGTACAAGTCCCATGTGCAAAATGTGATTCAAGCATTTTTGGCTTTGCTGTATTTAAGCAAACCCCCCAAAAAGCCTGGAACTGCCCCATTTTTACATTGTCAGCTAGTGAGCCTTGTTGCCTCTAAGTTATACGTGGCAAGAATTTTGTTGATTTCGAAACGACGTTCTGATAGTTGATGGGGTCAAATCGATTATCAACTTCGACAGCGTGACGAAAAAGTCCAGGGAATATGTTTGGAAATTTCATTTGGTAAACTCCATTAATTTCAAAATCGAATGTCAAATCAAAACAAAAATCACAAAATCACTTTTGTCAAGTGTGTGATGGCATTATCGAATGTGGCAACAAGCTTTTTTTTTTCGCACCAATGTTGGTTCAAAAATCTACCAGTGTATACCGTACTTAAGACAGAACTATGGGGTAAGTTGTTTTCCCCTGAGTTCTCTTAAGGTTCATGGGAGGACATATACTAGCGTCCTCCCGTGACCCAAAGCTCAGTATATCGTGAGCTACAGCTTGCGGTATACTGAGAGCGACGCAGCTGGAATGAATCCCGACATTACTGTCTGGATCCACCCAGCTGAGGCAGAGCCAGCTGTACCTGCCCCCTACCCGTCTTTTCCATCTGATCCTCCAGTCAATGCTGAAGGATCAGAGCGGGGGGGATCCCTGTAGTCACCGCTCTCTGCAGGGAGATGATCGAGAAGTGAGCAAGTGACGGTATGTGTTCGCTCACTTTCCAATCTATTGAGCCAACGCGTGACAGTTTCTTTGTCAAACGTCGGCTCAAACTATGAGCGCTTTTCACTCACCTCATAGTTCTACTTTAAAGGAGAACTATGGGGTTAGGGCTTTTCCCCATAGTTCTCCTTAGGGTAACGGGAGGACACAAACTAGCATCCTCCCGTCACCCAAAGCTACAGCTCGCGGTATTCTGAGACGCCGCA